AATTCCATGTTAGCAGTGCTGTGGAGTCGGAATCGGAGTCGTGAAATTTTAGTGTTTTAGTCAGAGTCGGAGTCGTCAAAAAATCAGCCGACTCCGACTCCTTTTTACTTACCAACTTGTTATGTACTGTATATAAAACGAAAAAGTATCGGAATCGTGTCGCAAATTCACACGTTTGGAGACCTCCTGAACCCCCAAAAATGTCAATTATGGGGAAAAATTCGCGCGCGTGTGCGTGTTGGCGTCTAATTTGCTTAATTTTTTTATTCTCTGTTTTGAGATATTAAACAATATCTCAGAATGGGCAAAGTTTAAGAAACGAAATTTGGCACTGTAGCTTGTTTATAAAGAGGCATTAATGCTATTAAATTTTGGTTCTGAATTAAAAGTCGACAGGGTGGAAACAGAAGGGATCATGTGTCATATCTCCAGTGCGGTCGAATTTAATGAACATTTTACTCGTTGTTAGCGTTCACAATTTAAAAAAATAAAATAAAATAAAACTCGTCTTTACTCTCAAAATTAAGCTTTTTGTCATTTTATAATAGTGCAGTAAAACTCGTTAAGATGTTTTCGCGTAAGATGTTAGAATGTGTATGGGGGAACGATTTAGTTCAACCACTTTGAAGTTTAATAACTCTTGTGTTAAACCATCCGATTCCGATTTAAAAACCTCAGAAGTTATTAGGCTTCAAACATGGTAAACAAAATCGTCACCCCACACACAGTCTAACATCCATACATAGCTACAGAAAAAAACCGAATATTTTGCATATCTCGACATTTCAAGATGTCCCGAGTCACAAATGTAAAAATTTGGAAGTGATCATTTTTGACCGATCTCTACACTTTCCTTCTGTTATACAGTAATACCCCGAACTTACGCGATAGGTGAGACCGAGCGGTAACCGCGTAAGTCGAATTCGCGTAAGTCGGGGTATAATTTCGCATATAAATACATACAAATAATTTCTAATTGGGGCTGGAGACTGAAGAAAACAATAATTTAGAAAAAAATGTTTAATAAAATCTTAGATAATACATATGTATAACAAATTAGGCCTATATTATTTTACAATTTTTCACATTTACTTGATTATTACGCCATAATTTTAACATTGTTTCCATCTCAGCGATAATACTGTGACGTTTACGAATGATGCTTGAATTTAAAGATTGAGCATTTTTCACAGCTTCGAGAATTTTTTCTTTGCCTTTTATAATTGTTCTGACCGACAATTCCGGTAGATCAAACTTCTTTGCCAATTCACAAATTTTCATTTTTGTATCGAAGTCTTTAATAATGGGTACGTTCGTAAAGTCAAACGAGTTAAACGCGTTAGTAACGAATCGTTCGAAAAGTCTAACGAAATAGGAATAACGATGACGTCATTCTCGTTTAACTCGTTCGACTTTACGAACATACCCAATGTTAACTTTACATTCCAAAGATAAAGTTTTTCTTTTCTTGTTTGATGCAGAAGAATTAGTTCTACTTCGTTTGGATGACATAGTAGAGTCTCTCGAGTCTCCGTAGATATAACAAACACAGAAATAAATAACACAAAATAAATTATAGCTATGTGTGGATTCCGCGCGACACATCCGAACATGTAAGCTGAACAATAGTGTGGGGGAGTGAGTAATCAAGGGTTGCGTGGCGCTCAAAACAAAAGACGAATTGACGAGATTTGAAAATCGCGTAACTCCGGGTTCGCGTAAGTCGGGGTAGCGTAAGTCGGGGTATTACTGTATATAACAGTGGAAAAGTAAAAATTATCGAATACATAATTATATATTGACTGTGAGGAGTCTTTCAGCTTCGAAATGAAAAAGTTTCTACGTTCTATATTAGAACTCTATTTACTGAATATTTTATTCTAAGGTCACGTGATGAGATCAGAATTTCCGTGTCTATTTTGGTAACAAGTCTGCTCCTGGTAGGAGTCGGAGTGGAAATCAACAGATTTTTACACGACTCCACAGCCCTGCAAGTTAGTGAGTGCGAACCCGCGGCCAGTGTTGTACTCTTGCTGCCTTAAAGGTTACTAAAAAAAGCTTTCTTATTAGCATTTTCTTGCGAGAGGAAAAGATAATTTTTGTCTGATCTAAATTTTTATTAAACAAAAATAGTCTTTTAAAGAAATAACTGTCTTTGGATCTTATATACATAACTTGATTTAAACAACATGGGTATCTGAGACGGAGGAGTCGAAGCTGTCGTTGTCGACGATCCGAAATGTACGTATCTCAACCTTCATCTGGAGACGTGTGAGGGGACAATTAGATTGTAAGAAAGTTCGAAGCCAATCGGGATTCTAGGTCAAAGAACTAACCAATCTCTTAAACATCCATGCAAGGAGTATGCAGGGGAGGACTTATGCAGCTACAGAATCCCATTTTAAAATTAAAATTACAATTTAAAATAAATGTAACAACGATATCGCAGGACGTCAATTAGATAAGATTAGGTAACTAAAGTAATTGAAAGGTAATTGAGTAACTTCAGTGCCCGCATCTGTTTTGAGCACATCCATCTTCTTAAAATTTGGATATTGTCACTGACTGTGATTCAAAGACGTATTTTGAGTTAAGTGTGCGAAAGGTTATTATGTGTGTTTACCCGTTGCTAAGATTATTTCCTGTGCCAGTCCCTGCGAGTTCGACAATTTTTAACTCCCATCAGACGGATATGCCAAGAAACATTGTCCGAATAACTTTCAAACATTAACAGAAATTAGAACTTGTAATTCTAATGTCCGAACATTAAGTGACTTTTGTTATCTTCCGGTTACATTGTGTCAAGATTGTAATTTGAAGTAATGGTTTCCTAATTGTAATAATTGTCCGATAATTGTTTTCATCTCTCTCTAATAAACGAATTTATTCAGAGAAGCAGTTCAAGAGAAATCAAGAGAATTCGTTTCTCATTCCAAATCTTTGTCATTGGTTCATTGTCTCCAGGCTCGTTTCACGTAACATTTTCATTTCTTTGTTTTGTTACAATAGAAATGTTTTGATTTATGACAGAAAACCATTTTTCCATTAATTCACTTTTATTAGAAAATAATAATTTTCTTTAATATAAGCTAATTTTAAAATGCTTTAAATTGTTAGTTTTCAATCTAGCATTCTGTAGCTTACAACTAAAACAATCGTCTTAGGTCTATTGAAACAAAGTCGGGAAGAAAGAAAAACTAATAATTCTTAATTATTACTGTGTTAGTGTAGGGAATGAAAACAAATGCTCCTAGATCTGTGCACGTGATTCTGTTCTCTCATTTCCAATTCTTTCTCAAAAGTGCTGCCCATGTGTATTTAGAAAAAATGAAGAGTATACAATTTTCAGACTATAGATCATGTCATAGATGAAACTCTGGTTTTGATTGGCAATGTAAGTTTATTACATTTTTCGATGCTTATATATTATTGATACATTTTATTAATTTATCCCCTTTAAGCGAATCTTGCAAATAAACAAATACTTCTAAAATAGAAAATAAATCAACTTAATATTTTAAAAATTGTTAAAATTGCTTTGATACGGGAGTGACTCTGAAAATACAGGCATACTATAAGGCCTGAAACAAAATATTTTTTATTTATGTTCAAAGTACTCTCCTCTCGCCAAAATGCACTTATGTAGTTGCTCCTTCTAAAGATCAAAAGCGCGACACCATTTATTTTCTGGAATGCTATCAAAATACTCTGTTAAGGAAGCTTCAATTTCATCCTCTGTTAAATTGGAAACTCCTCAAATGTTTTTGAAATTAAAAAATAGCCAGAAGTCACACAATGCCAAATCTGGTGAATATTGTGGATTTTGAATGATTCTTATATTACTAGCTTGAAGGAAATCAACATCCTTATTGGCACTGAGTGATGAAGAATTATCATAATGCAAAATTTGACCTCAAATTTTCAGTGAATCCAGAATGTTAAGAAGAAAAACTGTAGTGTACCAATTAGCCATTACTGTCTTCTGTTCATCAAGCATAATTTCTTTTGCCAGACCAATGCTACTGAAAAACTGTGAAAAGGCAGAAAGCCTTTTCACAGTTATTGGAATTGGATCATCTTTATGGATCCATACCTGACTTTCTTGACCTGTGACACAGTCATAAAATGGTGTGTATATCTCAGCACCTGTTACAATTTTGGAAATAATCTGGTGTTCACCTTGGTTCACACATTTTCAAGTTTTTCTTACTGTTAGAGATTCTGACATGTTCTGATTTTAGAAATCTGTCAACTGATCGAGACACTACTTTTTTTTAACTGTAACTTCGTATGCAGAATGTACTGCAGAGTCTCTCCTGTATCATTTTATAGGTATATTTTTGGTCTTCTGCAATCATACGTTAGATAGTAGTTACAATTTTTAGGTGTCACTGCTGTTCATGGTTGCCCTTCACGTGGTTCATCATGGAAGAAAGTACGACATCTCTGAAATTTTTTGAACTACCTGAATACAATAGTAAAGGATCACCCCCAAAAGTTAATTTCAAATGTTTATAACAGTCTTTGTCATTTAGTCTACCATAAAAATCATAGTAAATCATTGTACGAAGTGTTTCTCTAGAAAGTTTTATTGTAACTATTACAAATGGAATCTGTTTCATTTAGATTAAAAGAAATTGATGAAATTTGTTTATGCATAATGTGTGATATGAAGTTTATTATTTAAAAAAATAAACATTTCAATTCATTACGAATGGTTTTCCTGTATTGCAAAACTTTTAGAGCATTCTTTGTATAAGTTTAATGCAATAGATATGAAGAAATGCCTACATATCCGCATTATCCATCAATTTGTTTCTTATGATAAAAAATTTAAAATCAGATGCTATCGACTTTATTCAATTACCTTAATTAATAGTAGATGATATACCTAATATTGATCATAATCTCATCTAAAGCGCTAATGGAAATAATAATTACTCAATATAATAGAAATAATATATTTAATCTTTAGAGGTTTTGTATTTCAGATAAATATTAAATAATGAAAAAATTTCATATACATTTAATATTACAATTTATTAAGTTTGCTCTTTGAGTAAAATTATGTAATATTCAACATGGTTGAAATATTTCTTCTTTATTAGAAGAAATTCCTCTCTTGTTAATTCTACAGTAACGTTTCTTTTCATTATTGCTAAAAAATTAAAAATTATTATTATTATTTTAAAATATTTAAAATTTGAAAAGTAAATAATTTTAAAATATACCTTTTACCTTAATTGTAATGGTGAAACATGTATTTCTTGCAAATGCAATCTTTTTCTTTTCCTTCTTCTTCTTCTTCTCTCTCTCAAATAACCATACGAATCATCTACCCAAAGAAAAGTTAACTTTTCGATATCTCCCAAATTATTTTCAGAAATTACAAGATATTTTTGTTCGATATCGCTTCTCAAAGTGGCAAATCTGTTAAAAATATCATTATAACTTTTTAACTATAAAGGTATAATTAATTTTACGAGTAGAGTTTTACGTACCCTGTTATCAAGGCTGTGAATAATTCTCCTTCGTTACCACTTAGATGAATATACATTCCGCTTACTTTAATTGAAGAATTTTTTGGTTGTGAGAAGATCAATGAAATTTGATATTGATAAGCTGAATAGAAAAAGTTGAACCAATTAATTTTTTGTTACATTTTATTTATTTTTATTTGTGATTAAATAGAAAATTTACTATGTTTTTAGTTATTTTTAAGTTTATTAGAAATTTAACAGCATAAAACAGCGATTCCCAACCTGTGGTACGCGTACCCCTAGGGGTACGCGATAGGTTGTTTAGGGGTACAGAAAAAAGTTAGTTATTATGGCAGAAAAAATAATATATTATGTATCACAAACTAATAGTATTAAAAAATTATTAGATAAAAAATGTTCCTTGCAACAATCACAATTTTATTATACATGTTTTCTTTTAGGTTTTTTTTTCTTTAATTTAAAGTTACAATATGTAAAATTAATAATACGGTTACTCACTAAATTTCTTAAATGAGGGGTACAATCTAGAGAAATGACATGTCACGGGGTACAATCTAGAGATATGACATGTCACGGGGTACACTAATGAAAAAAGGTTGGGAACCACTGGCATAAAATATTAAATCTTTTCGATATATCATTATCATAAGTAATTTGTCTCTTACCCCAAAGAGTCTGCAGTAAATTTTGTTTTGAGGTTAAGTTCTCTTTTTAAGGATATATCCGTAAAAACGTATATATTTTTAATGTAGAAGTTTTAGTACGTTTCGCGAATCTTGCTCGAGATATTATGATATACAATAGCAAGAATGCTAGTTTACGAAGGCTACATATTATAATGAATTTAACAGGATCCGAAACATTTCTCGGATCGCTGGTATACAGCCTACTACTATCAAAAACTCAAGAGGTAAGTTAGGCTCCCGTGAAACGATTTATATATAATTATAATTAACGTATATAATTAGCTAAGTGAATCGAAAAATAAATTTTCTTACAGCAATATGGAGAATATTCCGTAGTTTTCAAGTAGAAAATATTTTTTTCGCTACCAAAATCTATTTGTTTTGGGTTTGAGTCATAGCCCATTAATGCACAGTTTCCGTCATCTCTGCAATCACCACAATGCCCACTATTAAAAGATTTCCAATCAGAACATTTTATTCCCACAAAAGAACATTTTCTGATAGATTGTATGAAATATATCAAAGCAGTAAGGTGATCGCAAACCATTTGTTGAAGAAAATCTAAAAGTAAAAACATGCGTAAGCAAATTAAACAAGAAATATTAATATTGATAAATCACGAAGGAATAAATATAACATGTATTTTCTTAATCAAATCAAAATTATGAAATTAAAACCTTGTCTTTTAGACTGTTTTTAAGAAGCACAGAAAAAATTCCGAAAATTGATGCAATTGTTCATTTCGTTTAATATTATAAATACGGTTTGTCACGTAAGATGAAATATATTATATATTTTATAAATAAATTATAAAAATAGACAGTTCGTACTTCTAATAGAAGTTTGTTTAAGCATATTGCGAATTCCACAGTTAACTTGATTGTTTCCACCATTAGGATAAAAATCTGCATGGCCGACTACTTCAGCGGTTCCAAATCCTGAAAGATCAAAAGTATGACAAATTGTATTATGCTTTTACATTTATTTTAAGTTACTTTTTACGTACCAACTAGTGCATCATTGGCAATGTCAGTGTGGATCACATCTACGAAATTTGCATCGGATCTATCTAGACGCCGATAACTTGATACATTCTGAAATTTTGGCCCTGCAGGATCTAAACCTGTAATAATAACGAGCAATTATTTATTGTGAGATCGTCACAATTCCCGGCTGCAATTTTAATTGATTTAATTTAAAATATATGTCTATTGCCTCAAATTAGTAGTGTCTTGCGCCCGTACATCATACTTTCCTGCTAGCGATATAGTCATGCAGTCATCTAACTCCTTACAAGAGAAAATATTTGAATTGAAATATTGTGATGTTCGGCGCAAACCGGAAGTTCTCATATAGTTAATCGGGCCATCTGCCCCTAATATTTTAATTTCTGGTCTCAATTGTTATCTATCTAACGCCGTTCTCGAGATTAAAAAGGACAGACAGACAGGCGACAGTGGGAATTTATAGGTGTAAATTTTTTTCAAATTGCAATATGATAATAATAAATATATATAAATTAATGATAATATTAAGTGAAAAAACGCTACTCAAATGCAATTTTTCAAATGTTGAAATCGTGTTTAATATTTTCAATGGTAAAGTGTCCATTTACAATAGTTTCCATAAATTAACGATAAACAAAAACGTATGATTATTTTAACTCATTAAAAATGAATTAAATTAGAATATATTAAGGGAGAAGTGGCAATCCGATCAGCTGGCAATATCGATCACCGTGATGTATGAAAAACTATAAATTTTATGTAGTAGTATAATTGAAAATTATCAAGCTTTCTCGCTGGTCATCTTAATTTCCTGTTCCAAAAGCGAGAATGTCAAGCAAGAAACGTTGCGAGATTTTTTAAAATTGAGATTTGGATTTTTCTTTTAAATAATATCTTAATAAATATATAATAGTGTAAATTTTAAATTTATATTTATTTATTTTTTTTTCTATTGTAAATGTCTAATCTAAACCTAAATATTTTAATGATGAAAGGGCACAGCTAACTTTCTTAATCCCTCTAAACTAAAACTCTTGAAAGTGCGAGAGCACATTGTAACATTGAAGAATTATTATTATTTACTCATTTAGTATTTATAAGTATTTATATTATCTTGTGTATTTAATACATTTATAAGATTGAAGAAAAACAAATGTTTTTCTCTAAGTAATTCCTCTTAATATTTTGGATGGAAAGGAGCTTAATGAACTTATTGAAGTCTAAACTAAATCGGAATAATCCTTGTCTCCATTTTAAATGATTTTTTTGAATATATTTTCAGATAAATTAAGTTAGGATTTATATCAAGAAAAAATTTTTTAAATCATACCTGTTATCCTCCCTAATTTGAAGATGTTATTTCCAACATATCCTGAAACATGAGCTCCTAAACTGTGTCCAATCAAATGAAAATCTTCAAATTTAGCTCCACCATATTCCTGAAAATATTCTATTTTAATACGTTTCGTAATTAATGTTGTGTTACATAAAAAACAAATTATTTAAAATATCAGATTTATATATAGTCTATATATTTATTTATTTATATATTACCTTAAGATATTTTATGAGATCTGTAACTTTTTTTCCTACGAGTTCGAGATCGTAAACTAATTCCTGATAAAAATTGAGGGAAACTTTAAACCAATCAACGATTATGACATTATAATCACCACGAAATAGAAACTCTTTGCGAATCGTCTGCAGGTAAAATTTGTTACAATTGTATTCAATCTCTACAAAAAGTAAAAAATAAAGTTTCATACCATCAAAGCTGATGATTTTCTCACGTCATCTAAGTAACCATGGATGATAATCTTAGTTAATCGGTTACCGTCGAAATTAGTAGTGTTCAGGTCAGTTGCATTCGTTCGAAGAACATCAGGATGTTTGTTGTCTCTTGTGTATAAGAAAAAAGTAATATCTAAAATTGAAATTTTTATTATTTTTTCAAATCACCAAACAAAAATAATGTAGAAAATTCGGATTAATTTCATATTATTTAAGAAATAATTATGCTATTTAATATTATGCTAGTTAAAATCATTATGCTATTTAATATTAAGATTTTATATAAAATAACTTTGAATTTTGTTAATAGATATTAAAGATAGGATGACCGAGACACCAAATGACTTTCTGAAGTTCCAGTGTATTGGGTGATTTTATCCAGATAAATCGAGCATGGCGATCTACATTGTACTCGTAGCTGAATACATACATAATAGCATAAATACATTTTATGCATGTAGGCATTATTATTTATATTTATTTAAGTCTTTCTGTCGTGTAGGGCAGAAAAATTTAAAGATATACACAATATAACCCTGATTATCCGAAGTAATGTACTGTACAGTACCTCAGCTAACCGAAATTCAGAGAAAACGAATGGCACCGGCCATTTCAGATTAAAAATTACTAACAAGTAAAGGTATAAAAACAGATTCAACAGTGATACCGGATAAATCTTTTATCTTATTGATAAAAGATTTATACGGTATCACTGTTGAATCTGTTTTCATACCTTAGTGAATTTAATCATATATAAGAACGACGATTTAACATTTTTCATTATTCAGCTAATATGTACCGTGGTCTTAATAAATAAAAATGTATACGGTTATATTTTAATTTCGATGGTTTGTCTCATACTTCAAGTTAAAGTTCAATGTAAAAAATAATAGAAATAAATCATTTTGTAATACTTGTTGTGTTTTAAACTTTCTTTTAGGAATTACAGTATAAGAAAAGTAGTGTATTCACTTATAATGTGGAACGTCGAATCTCAAATGATGCGGAGTCTTGATTAATCGAGACTTGGATAATCGACGTTCTACCGTATCTATATTTTACTATCCGAACTCCTTGTATCCAAATTCTCACTAAAACAAATAATCGTTTTTATTTAATGAGCCTTTATCTCATTAAATGGGATAAGGGCTCATTCATAATGAAAATTAAGCATAAACGTAAAACCTTGTATCTATATTATTTAATGCAACCATTCACAATGAGTTACGTAAGTTAATCTTAAACTTAATCATAACATGTTAACGTAAATAAAGTTTGGAGTTTTCATACTTCAAATTTTTGCACTTTTTACGAGATTTAAAACAAGAAACAATCATAGTGGTTATGGAATTCCTACTTATGACTTTTTCTCTCGTTTAACGGATAAATCCCTCATCACCTGTTGCTTGTATTTTTAAGTTTTCTGATGCAAGACACTTAACATACTTTCAGCGTTACTTATATTCATTAACTGACAGCTATACTAACTTATATCATCAGTAGTCATGCAAACATCAATTTGTTTCATTGCCGACCACTATTAGAGTAATATTAAATTATATTTGAATTTTATATTTTAAAGTGCACTATCGACCTCCCTAATAATTTGGCCTTCTGTATGCATGCACGCACTGCACACGTATCTAAACCGACTCTTGGTAGGATCGAATAAATGGCATTTTGAAAACATTCGGTCTGTGGCAGTCATCAAAAACAGTTTTTTCTTTGGTAAAGATAAGCTTGGCGCTTCGAAGCAGGAAATAATAATAATAATTATTATTATTATATTTCCTGCATTTCGCTTCAAAGCGCCAAGTTTTTTTAAAAATCTTTACCAAAGAAAAACTCCGAAGAAAAACTTTAACTGTTCATTTAAATTGTTATAATTTTTATTTGGCGCAATGTTTATGTATAGGGCAGGGGTCACCAAACTAAAGCCCGCGAGGTCAGTTCATTCGGCCCGCTGCAGCACTATGTGACAAATGAGCTAAAATATAGTTATTTATATGGAAATAAAATATATTGTAGATAAACTTACTATGTTAAAAAAAATTAAAATAAGTGTAAGTAAAAATGTCAAAATTGGTTCAATCCGATTTTTGCATCTCACAGTAATACAATTTTTAGAAAAATCAGTGAAATAAAAAATTCGGTAACTTTTTACGACTTTGAATATCAGAAAGATTTTTGTTTATGTATCTGCAACGAAATTTCTAAGAAAAACGATTACGAACTTGCTGCAGCGACCGTGTTTGTTTATTGGTAAATAAATATGTTAGTTATCTTTATCTTTGTGTATTCAGTGGTTAACAAAATGATTATGAGGCCCGCGCTCGTCATTCCCTCAGTTATCCGACCCGCTGTGAAAAAAAGTTTGATGACCCTTGGTATAGAAATACATATGTATAGACAAGACTATTAGGCCTATATCCAAACAACAGCATCTGAGATATAAAAACGTCTCAGATGTTTTTGTTTACATATAATATCCATATCTGTAATCTGTATAAACTGCGATTTATGTGAAACATGCGTTTCTATATCAACTACGTTAGAATTCAAATTTTTCTTAGAACAATCCGTAAAATTTTAACGGTTAACTGATTAACAGTTATGTTTATAATAAGTTTTGAATTTCAGTTCATTTATATTCAAGAAAATAAATTAATTTTTTAGGTAATGCTGCAAAAGTATTGATTACATTATATTGGCATATGTATATTATTATTACTCTTAATGTCGCAATGTTAAAATTTTAATGTTTATTTTATTGGTTAAATTGGTTAATATTTATTGGTTTATTCTATTTCTTTGCCAGTTAACAATAATTGATTCTTCCACCTTTTTTCTTTTTATGAAGCGGTACGTTGTAACGTTGTTATATAGGCTAATAAAAGTTCTTTCTCAATATCTTTTTTGTGTTTAGGCTACTTTATGAGTGCTAGCTTCTCATTCAACACATTAGACAATACTAACATTTAAAAAATCATTGTTTATTTCAAACGTATATGAAATAACTCTGTCTTACTGGAAATGAAAAGGTTTAATTTTTTCTAGGAAATTCTGCAGTTATTTGGTAACTAGTCCTCAGATTTTATGAAATGTTTTCTTTTATTTTCCCTTCCTCTGGCCACAAACAACCAGCGGTCCACGTGCTCCTAATATGCGATCCCAGAACTTTGTAAACGTAATTTTACTTTCATGTTTTCTGCATCTAGCCCTTATGCTGCCCTTATGCAATATTAGTTTTGTTAATATTCCGACGAAAAACATTCAAACTTGATCAAAATTCAACTTGGCCAGTAAAATGATGAGCATAAACCATATATTTCTAATTTGCATATCATTAACAAATATTAACTTGAGCGAGCAGTAAGCCAGCACAGTGTATTGCGGTAGCTTATGCGCTTTCGTGTCTGAATTATAAAAGAAAAAACATTTCCACGTTAGATTTTGATTATTTTTATGGTAGAATGCTCATTTGAATCCTGGCATGTGCATAAATTACTTTCTGGAAAATATAATTAACTCTTAAAAAATGTATTCAAAAAACGAAAATGTCGACTTCGCTTTTTTGACGCTTGATAAATAAAAAAGCATTTTGACATTTTTGAGTGCTGTTTTTGGATCGTAAATCCACACAGCTGCTTCATATATTTCCAGAGTTTGGTGAATTTCGGTCGAATTACGGAAAAGTTATCCGAGTTCTAAGAAGAAGGAACCAAATTTACATCCCTCATTCTCACTAGATGGCACCACGTTAGCTAGCTCTTCGATTGCCTCTGCTGTAACTGCATGCCCGGACTAGTACCGATTTAAACATATTGTCATTTCCTTTCGTCAACATGTCAGCAGTTACGCTCAACTCCTTCCTCTCATCATTCCATTGGAATTTTTTAACTTTTGTGTAACTATTTCAAATATGTTTTTTAGCCCTGTCAACCGACGTTATATTTAAGAGGGAACCGTGTCTTAAATTTTTAAATTTAAAAGATTTCGTCCAGTCCAGACTGGACGAAATCTCAAACGCGGATGCTTTTAACGAGCGACTCCAATTTATCCAACATTTTTCCTGCTTAAATGCTACCTGATTTTATTTTATTACTAGCTGCAAGGACCCACTTCGCTGGGTTTTTATTTGTTCGTACATTTGTATGTAATACAGTAGACCCCCTATAACGCTTAGATACGTTCCACGCTAACCGAAAATTACGTTGTAGGAATGATTAAATACATGAGCCAATCGCAGCCCGATAGGTGGGAACTTTACGGACTAAGGCTGTTCGAAAGGTTTTCTTCTATAAAATTAACCGATTCTAGACTAATTCGACTCAACATTTCCAAAACACGTATAATTTTTTGGGA